ATGACTCTTCTGAAGTTAGTTTTTCCGATTCATAATCTGTCCTACATTTTACCATACAACAATAGAATATGTCATTGTGTTACAGTTTCTGAAACTATTGCTCTAATGAAAATTTTTAGAAATTCTTTGTTACAACGATAGTTTCAAGGAAAGGACAGGATAGAGAGTCCTTGTTTTCCTTTTGCTTATTGTAAATAAAGCTCTAGTCAATTCCAATATATTTTTGTATCTTCTTCAAAGAAATAACTCCATGATCTTTGTGCCAAATTCACAATTTCTAAGTATTAGGTGAAGTAATTGTCTCCCGAAAGATGTATTTTATACTTCAATTAAAACATATTAAAATTGATAGAGTATGACCCATTTGTTAAAAAATGGTTGTGAAGAATTGGTTTAACAATGCTTTCCGAAACCAACTTCTAGGATAAAGCCAAACTCAACTATATGCAGAAGTCAAAATTAAACCAATTAATATGTTTTAAATTACAGTTTTTTAAAAGCAACAATCAGCTAGAGTTGACTTTCTAAAGAATGTAGGAGATTATCTCATTAAAGCAGTGGTACCACCTCCAACTCTTTCTTCATCCATGCCTATTTATTAAAAAATTAAAAAAAACGTTTAATATCTAGGTCTTGGTTGGCTGGGTTTTGTATCCTAAACTATGTGTTAGTATCTTTCTCACTATGGACTATATTCTGACCATTTCTGTTGTTGTACAAATGTAATTCTATGTATTCGATCCACCAGTGTGGATTGAGCTGATTATAATCTTGTACTCTTTTCAAAAAAATAAATAAGTGAATATGAAATTCTTAAATTATGTAGAATGCAATAGATAAATTTCGCTCAGATCTCAACATTAATTTGTAGGCAAGAAGTCCTATCCTCGTCACCTGCTTTCATCTTCATTTTTACAAGATCCTTACCCGAAGTCAAAATATTTGGTGGTATATCGTTCTCATTACGTTACCAGAAAGAGTTGAATAAAAACTTGAGTGAAGATAACTAATTGTTTAAAATAAATTCAATAGGAAACCAAGCTTGCAATCAATAATTGGTGAATAATAATGAGATACAAATTCTACCACATACAATCGGCATATTGAAATTGAGACCACGAAAAAGTTGTACCTAAGAAAGTCAACTTGTTCGACTTGATTTGAGGTAATGGTGGTGAAGAGAAGGGGGTTGTAATAGGCTTCTTCTTGTATTATATTAAAGCAAAAAACGCTACTTCCCCACATAAGGTAAAAAGCTATAAAATCTCTCTCTCTTTTTTTTTTTTTTTTTTTTTGTGACTCCTTAGAGTTTATGTGTTTTACTTACTCCTTTAGTAGTTTTATTTGATATGTTAATAAAAAATGGAAACGATAAGTTGTTCGGAGGTAGGGTATCAACAAGCTCAAATTAGACTAATGCTATATGTTCAAAGTCTAGTCTGAATTTCTCAATAATTTTTATATTTTTCTTTTGTACATGGTTTTGGTTACCATTTTAGCCAAGCTCTTTGGGATTTCAAAAAATCAAAGTGAGGTTGAGTTCAAGTAATTTAATTTACATGTATGTAAAATTTAGATTTTTTGATTTACAAAATGAATGCGAGATGAGTTAAAGATTAAAGTAATATTAGATTTAGTTTTAACTTGGTTTTCTTCATTAATAAACCAATCTTGAACGAGCTATTGTCCAGTCAAGCTCATATTCCCTTCCCTTAAGGGGAAAATTCTTTAATACCGATCTTTGTGTCATTTGAGAAAACCATATAGTTTTTTTTAGACTATTAATTTAGCCGGTTTTAGTTTCTTAAAATGGGGTTGTATGTTTAGGATTTTCATTTGTTGTGTTTATCTGCATACTAGGTATAGGGATGGCGATTGGGACAAGTGCTCGTAAGGAGTTGGTGGGGCGGGGGGTAATTTTCACTCCCTGTCAAAAAAAGCGGAGGGGGACAGAGGGTATACCCCTACCCCATCGCCCACTCCTCTCTCTCCTTGAAATAAATAAATAAATAAGTAAATAAATAAATATGTGTATATTATAAATACATGTATAACATATTTAATATTGATAGTTATAATAATTATATTTTTAGTTATACTAATAATTATATATTTATACTAATATAAATCATTGATTAAGTATACTAATACATTTATACTAAATTAATAATTACATTTTTTACTAATTATACGTTTATATTAAATTACTAATTGCATTTTTTATTAATTATATATTTTTTATTCATTATAAACTCTTGGGCAAAAAATCGCGGTGGTTCTCAAACTTCCAACTTTGCACACTTTTAGTCCTCCAACTAATAAGTGCGTAAATGTAGTCCTTCAATTAATAAAAATGTGTAGTCATAGTCCTTCCGTCTAATTTGACTGTTAAGATGGACGGGAAGATACAAAAATAATACAAAAAATAAAGGGCTAATTTCAAAAATCTCCCTTGAGGTTTTTAACAATTTCATTTAGCTCCCTTGATGTTTTAAAAATTACACGTACCTCCCTTATCGTTTAAAATGACAATACTACCCTTGAATATTTAATGAAATTTCCTTGTTTGGTATGTTTATATTTAGAATGACTTTTAAAATTACTTTTTATTCTTTTTCCTTCTTATTCCTTTTTTTTTAAAATTTTTGCCAATAAAACTATAAAACTATCACTATTATCTCTAGTTTCTATTGCAATCAAATGTCCAATTAGTGATTTTTTTTGACGAGTTAACTTTATATGCAATCCAATGTTTTTGCTAATCTTTATTTTTTATTTTTTGGTATTAAAATTAACAATAAATCAAAAGAAAATGGTCCAAAATCACTATTAAATTATGATAATCCAACTATTCGAAAAATTCATAAACACTAAATGAATTATTTCAACATTTTCTTTTCTATCTAATAAATTTAAATCCATAATAAAATACCATCAAAAGTATCCTATCATAATGATAAAATTATTATTATTGCCGTTTATCAATAATAGGTACGAATATGAAAATTTTGGCACATTTTATTATAGTTATACTAGATAATCTTATAATTGTATAGCGAAATAAATTAAAACTCATTGCACAAGGGTATTTTTGGAAATTCATTTAAAAATTTGACCAAATCAATATTATTTTAAGATTTTGTTACTAAAACTATCAAATCAAGGGAAGTAGGTATAATTTTCCAAAAATCAAGGGAGCTGAGTGAAATTTTTAGAAACCTCTAGGGAGTTTTTTGTAATTATCCCAAAAATAAATGTCATGTGAACAATGTGTGATGTGTTTCCCATCTGTCTTAACAGTTAAATTGGACGGAAGGACTACAACTACACATTTTTATTAATTAGAGGACTATATTTACGTACTTATTAGTTGGAGGACTAAAAGTGCGCAAAGTAGAAAGTTTGAGAACCACCGCGATTTTTTGCCATAAACTCTTTTCCCTTGAGCAGGGTGCCGGGGGGGGGGGGCGGGGGATGTTTAGGCAATGGTAATCTAGGTTTTTTTATGTATACTATCAATTTATAGGCAAATTTTACAACAACATTATTTTTATTAACAATTTGAGTGGCATTTTTTCTGCATCTACAACATATTAGATTCATGAAAACTCATGATCAATACTTCATGTGAAATGTTTAATTAGGTTCGCTAGTATAGATGTAATGTTGACGTGATTTTTTTAGTTATTCTTTTCTACGAAATGATAATTCTCAAAAAATAATTTTTTAAGAATTTTTGAGCAGTAATTTTTTTAGACCCGTTTGTATTTTCAAATAGCACAAGAGTACTAGCACTTAACATGCAACATACTACACGGGATAATATATTTTAAGTCATTGATTTTAGCAGTTCAATAACTAGTACCTATAAAACGGGATATTTTTAGAATAAATTTTATATACACTGACAGTGCATATACTATCATCGTTGGATCCATAACACGTGCAAAAATTGAATTTCAAGTTCAAATTTTGCATCGTTGTCATTTATCAAGTGTAGGAAAAATTAATCCTATCTTTTAAAGATAGATTTTATATACACTAACAATGTCCACATTATCATTGTTAGATTTATGATACATGTGCAAAAGTTGGATTTCAAATTCAAATTTTGCATAGTTGTTATTCATTCAAAATTGACGGTATATACACTGTTAGTGTAGAAAAGATTAATCCATCTTTTAATATTTGAAACATTCATTACTAACAAAAGATGCCAAAAAAAATTAAACACTAACAATATATACACTATCACTGTTAATGTATATCAAGAGGCTATACTGTACTTGTGCAATACCATAATTGTACTATCTGTAACCGTGGAGTATACTACATGGAAATGGTTTGAAACTTTTTTACTTGATAATAAGAAATTACCTAGCTAAAAGATCTCTTTACATTGCTGAATGGTTTTATTACAATTTAACAGGGAAGTTACTAGTGCAGATAATAATTTTTCATTTCTAGATTTGGCAATTCAATTTTTTGCAATATTGAAAGTTAAGAACCTCTCTAAATTTCAAAATTTTTAACAAGTTGCATTAAGGGAAAAAAAAAAGCTAGAGAACCTTTGGAATTGGTAATTTATAACATACCTTATAAATAGCCAACGGTATTCTCCCCAAGTTTGGTATCTTTCACTCCTAAATTGGAAGGTGATATAACTATGGTAACTTCTTCAATTAAAATGTGTTGCTCTTGTTCAAACTTGTTTTCCTTATTGGTAAACTAACTTCAAACAGGCTATTGTGCAGTCAAGCTCAATTTTAGTATCTACAAATTTGCTTCCTCTTTCGCTCCTAAATTTGGGGGTGATATTAACTTTGGTAACTTCAACTCTTCAATTAACATGTCTTGCTCTATAAATAAGTTATAATAATTGTTAATATTTTCGAATTTTGAGTTGTTAAATTTTATCAAATTTATCTTCTCTCTGCAGAAATCAACATCACTCACACGACGGCCCCTGTCCAGTAAATTACCACATTAAGTTCAATCGCATGGCTGTTGACATGTTTGTTTTCTTTCTCTGTGTGTTTTTTTTATCATTTGAATTAATCTTTATTCAGTTATATGTGATTTTTTATGTTTCGTTTTACAATGATACATACAGCGTTGAGGGAGCAGAGTTGGGGCAAAGGCACAAACAATGGACTGAGGTGCTTTCTTCAGAGCCTAGGGCTTCCATTTTTCACAATTTTTTGGTACTATTTCTTTTCTTTATTTTCTGGGGCACGACCTTTTTCTGTCTCAAATTAATTGAAAATAGTATGCTGAAATATAAAGTGAGCTTTAACTCCCTGTTTGATTGTTATTTGTTTTTTGTTAACTCTTGTTGCGATGATAATGTAATTAATATCAATTTATTAGTATAATTGACTTCAAAGAAAAGATCTTAATTTAGGTTTGTTCAATATTCCCCACTAGTCGAGGCACAAGTAGTTTTATACTTATGTAACGAAAATTTCTTGAGTATGTTCATTGGTGCTGGCATTTCTTAATTTCGTCCATTTTTTGCTCCTCCAGGGCCCTACGATAAAAGCATCATAATCAGAACTATAGAACCATTAATCTACAACCCAAAATTAACCTGTTTTCTCAATCAATAGATAATCTTATTATAACCGTCACTTTAACCTTTTGGTGCGATAGTGCAATTCCTTTCTTGAAGAAATTAATGCAAATTATTATTTTTAAAAACTATTCCTTATCATCACCAGAACAAAAAGTTATCAGGATTGTGGTTTTCCATGTACTATACTTTTTTGAGGGAAATACTTTAAAGCCTAAATTCTGAGAATTATTTGGTGTATTCATTTTCTGTAATTATTTGGTATATAAGAGAAAACCTGCTATAATAAAATTATGAATTGGGTTTCTTTTTCAAGTGCATTGACCCTGTTTGCAATTTAACAGTCTAAGGAAGAATGTGAATATCTTATAAATCTAGCTAAACCTCGTATGTCGAGATCAAAAGTGCTAGACCCAAATACTGGTCAGACTGGACATAGCAGGTTTGTAATGCCAAAATTTTCCTTAATGTCTTACACATTCACTTTCAATGCTCATTTGATCCTGTGGTTTTCTTTTTGTCCTTTTTTTCCCCTAATGACAGATTCATTTTATTCAAGTTTCTTCACTTTTTGCAAAATTTTGGAGTACTGCATATGAAATGTTTCAAATAAAGTTAAATCTCATTCAAGAAATTTCTCAACAGAGAGAGACAATTAAAAATTTTTACTTTTGAATGTAAAGTTTGGCTAGTTCTTATTCTTCGATTTTTTTAATTTCAGAATTGCTTGCTTCAACAATTTCTCCAATTTTCAGAATTTCTTGCTATGGTATCGTAGTAATCATGTCTTATGGCAGCTCGCGCACAAGTACTGGCATGCATTTGAAAAGGGGTCATGATGAAGTCGTTAGGGACATTGAGAGAAGGATAGCAGATTACACATCAATTCCTGTGGGTATGAATACCTATTTCTAAACCTTGGCTAGATAGCTACAATTCCTTGCTGCTAGTTTAACAAAACATATCTCTCTGTCTTCTCTTTCTACACACACACATACATACATACAATATTATCTTTTAGGTATGCTCAAGTCTCGATGGAATTAGTATTATACAAGGCATAGATGGTTTAATAAAAACATAGTAACAGTAGTTTGGATAGTTGTTTTTTGGGGTTTTGTTTTCTTAAGAAAACGCTTGGTTTATTTGGAAATCAATTTTGTGGAAAAACATTTCCGTATTACTCCTTACAAACATTTTTCAGCCAATTTTTTTTTTTATCTTTTCAACTATCTTTTTTTACCACATATATCTATCAGTAATCAATTTCAAAAGAATTACCAAATAATCTTCAATCCAAAAACATATTTATCCTATAGCAACTTTTAGGGTAAATGTGTTCATAAAACAAAAATATTTGGTAACCCTAACATGTTTGTAATTTCCTAAAACTTTGTTATCAAAAAACAACAAAACCTAGTATTTTGAGGTTACTCTGAGTCTTCTTTTGTATATTTACTTCCACATGCACTACATAGTGTGAAATTAAGGAATTTTGATCTTTAGTCTGAACATTCTATATGAGATTCCTTTCTCTATTTTATTTTATTTTTGGCTGGTTAAGGGTTTCCGACTGAGCTAAACTTTTTACAGAGAATGGAGAAGGTCTTTCCGTTATCAATTATGAAGTCGGACAAAAGTTCGAGCCTCACCACGATGTCCACCGTATGGCTACTCTTTTGATGTATCTGTAAGTTATGCAAGTATTTTTGTTCACGAGTTGGATTATCTAATTATATATCTTTATAAAAGATCATAGTCTAATAACTAAGGTTGAAATATGAAGAATTCGAGTTCCTAAGTTTAAATTCCACCTCTCCCAAGTTCAATTTAAAAAAAAAAAAAAAAACTTTTCACTGCCTTTGATCGATAAAATGTTTGCATTCGTTTTCTGTCACACTTGCATGTGCAGATCAGATGTTGAAGAAGGCGGAGAGACGTATTTTCCCGATGCTATCGCTAAGAGGAAGTGTTGCTGTTTTCCAGGATGCACAAAAAGAAGGGGGCTTTATGTGAAACCAAAAATGGGGGATGCATTGTTTTTCTGGACCTTGAAGCCTGATCGAACTACTGTGGATCCATCAAGCTTACATGGTAAGCATGCCCCTTCACATTACATGCCTTTCCACTGAATTTCCCCTACCTCTTTACCAGTTCTCTCCCTCTTTTGTGATTGATCTGGCCAATACATAACTAGTAATGCTATTGGATGGAGAACTTTCTATGGGAATACTAACGTTTGTGAGATGGTGCATGTGAATCATAATCCACAACAGTGATGAATCTACTTATCGGTTAATAGGGGAATGTGTCTCCAGTGAGGAAAGGAAAATTTTTATTCTAGTCATAGAATTAATAGTTAAAAAAAAAAACCTTATTGTTGCCCTACTAATTTATCAATGTGCCCTTATAGACCAAAATAAAATATGGGTGTTAAAAAAATATTACTTTTTTCCTGGATAATTTGTAGAAATCCAATAATAACTTGTACGTATGAGCACTTTGATAAAATTTTTGATAAAAAAATGATTACTACAAGCACAAACTCAATAGTTTGGGGAGTTTATTTTATTTTATTTTTTGAAGTTTGTGTATACACTAATAAAAAGGTGCTTTAATGAGTTAATTCTGAGCTTTAGACGATTATTTGCATCATCTGTTTTATTTTTTTTAAATTTTGTATGTTGATACTTGCTATCACTTTAATTTTGCATAGAAGCCCCCTCAGAGATGTAAACTTCTACTCCCTCCGTCCCATTCATTTGGTTATACTTTTCATTTTGGGATTCCCATTCATTTGGTCATGTTAGAAAAGTCAAAACAACTTTTACATTCTCTTTTTAATATAACCTTTTTTTTTAATCACACATTCAAATTTAAAATTTGAATTTGAGGGGGTAAAATTGGAAAGAGAAGTACAAATATCACAATCAACCACTATTCTTAAAAAGTTGGATTCCCCAAACATAACCAAATGAATGGGACGGAGGGAGTATTAAAGTCTGTACTCAACCAATGGAAAAGATACCCTGTATCAAGTCATAATGTCAGTTGGAAAATATTTGCTCTCTTACATACTCCCTCCCTTTTTTTATAACTGACGTTTAAGGTTTTGCACACCAATTAAGAAAAGTTTTTCATTGTTTAAATCTATACACTACTTTCCTTTTATACCCTCATTAATTGTCTAATTCACTCATGTTTTCTCTCACTAGAGTATTAAATGGTGCTGTTTTACTAGGCCAAAAGCAAAGAGAGAAGTAATAATTACTAGGAGTATTAATTAAGAGCCCTGTATTGGTAAAGAGAGATAAAAGGGTAAAATTGTGAAAAAATAATTAATGTTGCATGGGGATAATACAACGACAGATAAAAGTACTTAAGAGCAAATTTCTTAAACGTCAGTTATAAAAAAAAGGAGGGAGTATATGTCATTCTTCATTTATGCGCTTACCCAAATTCACTGCTCCAGAGTACAGAGAATTATGATTCTATTTGTGGTTACTACAGGTGGTCGCCCAGTGATCAGAGGTGATAAGTGGGCATGTATCAAGTGGATGCATGCTGAAGAATTCAAAGCCTCCAAGAGTTATACTCGACATAGTTAAGCAAGATTACAAACCCAAGTCGATTCTGCAGCTGGTAATTCAACCAGTAAAATGCCACGCCATTTAGTATTTGCTTAAACGAGAAGTTATTTTCTTTGGTTGCAGCTGAGAACTTAAAGTATTGGACTGTTAGAAATTTTTAACATATTGGTAAATATGTCGAAGTTAGGTTGGTTTCACTTTGGCTTAATGTTTCATTTTCCCTCCCCTTTTGCTGAATAACAACATGGAGTCTTGTGCCCGTTACAAAATCGAGATGAAGCGAATGAATGAAACATACCTTGGGTTAATTTTTTTTTTTCCTAATTCTTAATGTATTACTTTTCTCTATTAATCTTTTCCTTTATTTTCCTTTGATCTGTTCTCTAAAGATTTGATTTCTTTGAATCAGCCGAGTTCGGTTTGATGAATTGATGACTGAATCCTCCCCAAGTCTTGTTCTTATGTGTAAACTAATTGCTTCCACAGTCATTTTTGTGGAAGTATTACAATTAAACCTGATCTAGATAACAAAATTTCGTGCTCCTTTTTGTTTCTAGATATATATCAGAAGAACGAGAAAGTTAGGCTCGTTACAGATCGGTCGCCATGAATTACATTGTGTAAATTACACTTTATCCCTTATGGTTTAACGCCTTTTTCACATAACCCCCTATAATTTCAAAATTTATGCATGACTTCCTAATTACTTTGATTAAAGTGTCAGAATTTACATTCTTTAATGAAATCAACTAAAATGTCAAAGATACCCCTATGTAAAGTTGAAAATAATTTATTAATTAAAGGGAATTATGAATATATTTTGAAAATTATAAGGGGTTTATTTGGTAAAGTACTAAATCATAAAGGGGTTATATAGTAAAATACTAAATCATAAGGGATTAAAGTGTCATGCATATTACGTTAATATATTTTGATCACTTTAGCTATTTTAGTTTTTAGATAAGAGTAATTTCGACATTTTTGTGGGTTCCATGACAGCGAATTATTTTCGTTACTTTGATATTTTAATCAAAACTATGAGAAGATTATAAATAACTTTTGAAACTACTAGGGAGTTACGTGAAAAATCGCTAAATCATATGGTGTCAAAGTGTATTAGAATCATTGGAATAAGAGTTCGAGTCATTCCCACAAAAGGCTTGTGCAATATATTAGATGGACGCGCATCATTCTTAGAGTCCTTAATCAGCTTATCTTTTGCTTTGTAGTTGAGTAAATTGGTTGCACTATTAATACTGATATTTGTGATTTTCACAGCAGTTCTTTGTATAACTTCACAGGACTAATTCATATGCAAAGCAAATGCTAGTTTTTTTTTTTTTAAAAAAAATGTTTTCCTAGCGAAGGAGTGGTGGAATTTAAAAAGTGGGGACGGAATAAGGGCATTAGAACTCACATCCTCTAGTTCCTGAGACCTAAAGCAAATACTGGCTTAATGTAACTAATATATACTTTGGTCTATTTACAACTACTTGAGTTGTATGTTTGTGGTTTACTTTTATACGGATTTTGGCAAATTTTAAACTGTCCATGGGTACCCTCACGCCTTGGCTTGAGGCGTAGTAACTAGTTAATAGATAAAAAAATGTTCTAGATTCTTGTACGATAACTTTTTGTATCTTCTTACAAAAGAATAACTCCTTGATCGATCTATATGCCAAGTACATAAAATCCATCTTTTAGGTAAAATCAAATATATATTTTACAACTTTAATTTAATCATAGCAAATATGTATACTAAAATTGATAGAAAATGAACCAATAGTAAAAAAAAATGAAGAATTAAATTGAAAAAAAGTTGTTTCAAAGCAACTTCTAAGGATAAAATGAAAATCAACTAAATGCAGGAGTCATAATTAATGAACCAACGTGTCTTAAATTACAGTGTTTTGGAAAGCTATAATCGTCTGGATTTAACTTCTAAGGAACGTGGAATTTATCTTATCGAAGCAATGGAACCACCTCCGACTCTTCTTAAGCTTAATGCCCTGGCTTATGTATTAGAAAAAAAAAAAAAAGAAAAAAATAGTTCAGTATCCAGCCTTTGGCAGGTTGGGTTGTGCACTCTCTAAACTATATGATAATATTTCTCCCTCCATGCGTGGTCTATACCATTTTGGGGTTAAACTGAAATATTGCGCAAATGTAATTCATATGTATATGATTACGCTAATGTGGGTATCTTTTGTCTTATCAATACATAGATAAATACGTATGATATATTTGAGTATAGAACTCTACGTATGTGGATAAGAAATGGTTGTTGTCACGTATTCTTCTTTCTTACCCAAAGCCTTAAAGTCAAAAAAGGTTTGTGGTATATCGTTCTCATTACTTCAACATAAATACTTGAAAAAAAATTTAAAGGAAGATAATTAACCGTGTAAAATAAAATTCAATAGGAATTCATGCTTGTTATTTGCACATATGGTACTGAAATTTCAAACTTCCCCACGTATAATCGGAATATGAAATTTGATACCATGCAAAAATTTGTACAGAATGCTACCTTTTGGCCTTGATTTGAGTTGACAGTTGTATCAATGGTTGCCAGGAGGCGTGGCGATGGTTCCTTTGTTTGGTTTTGGGGGGGGGGGGGGGGGGAGGAGGTGTTTGGAGGGAAATTTAAGGAAAGGGATGTTGTACTAGGCTTATAAAAGGTCGTAAGATAGCGTGTCTGTAGTTTCCTTATAAAAGGATGTTTTCTATATATATATATATATATATATATATATATATATATATATATATATATATAAATATATAAAGAAACAGCTAAACCTAGTATTTTGAGGTCAGTCTGAATCTTCTATTGCACATTACCTCGACATGCACTACATAATGTGAACATGAAGGAACTTTGAGGTTTAGTCTTCAATCTCCCATAGGTGGTTACTGGTTTCTACTGAGCTAAACTGTTTCTTTTACAGAGAACGGAGGAGGTCTTTCTGTTATCCATTATGAAGTTGGACAAAAGTTCGAGCCTCACTCACCACGATGGCTATGGCCGTATGGCTACTGTTTTGATCTATCTGTAAGTCATATACCTATCTTCGTTGACAAGTTGGATCATCCAGTTATATAGTTATGAAAACTTCGTTCCACCTTTGATCAAGTAAAATAATTTGCGTTCGTTTTCTGTCACACTTCCATGCGTAGATCAGATGTTGAAGAAGGTGGAGAGACATATTTCCCTAATGCTCGGGGGAAGTTTAGCCGTTCGAGGATTCAGATTGAGAAGGGGGCTTTATGTGAAACCAAAGATGCGGCATGCACTGTTTTTCTGGACCTTAAAGCATGATCTTACCACTGTGGATCCATCAAGCTTGCATGGTAAACCTGTTTTCCCACTCAATATTCCCCATTTCTTTCCATGTTTCTGACTCTCTTGTGTCTAATGCTGACTCTTGTCAATACACTAGTAGTGTTATTGGGTGGAGAACTTTCTAGAGAAATTTCTAATATTATGATGATTTTTTAAAAAATTCTACAAAGGGATGTTCGTATTCTGTAAAAGGGATGTTCGCATTTTGCAAATGCGAGTTCATTGAGATCGCATTTGCCGAATGCGAATTCTCCGTGAATTTTCCAGCCACCAAATTCCAAAAAAAAAAAAGAAAAAGAAAGAAGACCTTGCATTCAAGGAATGCGAGGTCATATTTCTCGAACCAGATTCCATATTTTGCCATAACTTTTATTTTTGCTTCTGTTGTAATGCCATTTACTCAATATAAATGATTTCACTGCAAATTATAAAATGATTTACAATTTGCAATGAAAGTGTCTACAAATTGTAGCGGTTAAGGCTCTAAATTAATGGGGTTTGGAAAAAAAAATCCCATAATATTGCCATCAATACTTGATAATAATTTGGGGCAATAAATGTTAACCGAACTAGTAGGCTTTTGGCTTTACTGTAAATTAGCTCCGATAAATGCGAATTCCTAGAAAATTATATTCAAATTTTGCTTTTTTTTTAATTAGGAGGACACACTAATTTTTGTTTTTTCATTGACATTTATCATAGAGGAATAAATCCTTTTTATTTGAAAACTCACACGAGTTAGAAGTTAGCAAATGTGACCTCTCAGTTTAAAATTTTGTGTACTAGTAATTCTTTGTATATAAATAACAAAAAAGTTATATTTCTTATAGATTAAAAGATTTGATAATTATACGGCCACAAACACCTAATTTTATTATTAAAAAATTTTGTATTAAAAAAAAAAAGAAAAGTTACTCAACATATTAAGAGTTCTGAAAACACCTGATTACGAAAACACTTATAATAAAAAAGAAAATATATTACATACCACATAAAAAAGAAAACATATTATTAAGAGTTCGTAGTTACTCAACAAAAAAGAAAACACCTGATTAAGAGTTCGTAGTTACTGAACTACTTATAATAAAGGGTTAATCGCACTTTATCCCCTTTAAGTATAAGCCATTTCTCACTTTACTCCCTAATGTTTGTTTTTCCTTAGTTTACCCCCTCCGTCAGCAATTGCACCGTTAAAAACTTCAAGATTTCGAAATTGCCATACGAAAAGGGCTGTTGGTTTTAGCTGACAAAAATGCCCCTTAATGGTGTCTGATGCTTTTAGCCTATTTTTTCCCTCAAAGAGCCGTTGGTTGGGTTCTGTAAAAGTTGGTATTTTGCAGCCAATTTTTCTCATACAATTTAGCAAATTCCAAAGTTCCTAAAATTTCTCTCCAAAGTTCCTAAAATTTCTCTTTGTCAACCAAAAGCATCATAAAATGTCACAAAGTGCTTCAAATAATATTGAAAGATCACCTCAAAAAATGTGTGGATATGGTAAAGAGGCACCATTGTGCACCTCTTGGACACTTGAAAATCCGGGAAGAAGATTTTACGGCTGCTCAAATTACAATGTAAAAATTTTTCATTAATAATTTGTTAATATTGTCTTTAATTTGGCTCTATACCTGAATAAGTTAGAAAGAGTTTAAACAACTTTTTTTTTTATTTAGAACTGACATGCATGTGGGCACTTTTCATGGGTAGATCCTGAAGTTTGTAGCAAAACAAAAGAAGTAAGTGCAGTGCTGCAATCTAGACTGGTGGAGCAAAAGGAGAAACTAATGTACTTGCAAAGGGAGCATGAAAAATTGGCAAATGAGCATGAAAAAATTGAAAAGCAGATATGAAGCCTTAGTAACAGGGATGTTGTTGCGATATATTTATTAGTCAAAGAAGAGGTGTGGAAAGGTGGGGGAATAGGAGGTGTAAGTGATTGTGGCCACAAATGGAAGGGAAAATGTGTTGGATGGGCACGTGTAAAGGTCTTTTGTGACCTAGAACCTGAAGACCTGTTGGACGTTGCAGTTAAGCAGAAAGGGGATAGGAAAAGTTGAGGAGATTCCAACCGTAAATATGAAATGTGGGGCTCTTTTATTCAACAACGGGTTTATTTTTATGTTATCCAATAAATACATTAGAATTTAAGGAAAATGGGCACCGTGTGAGTATAATGAATGAAAGTCATAAAGAACTGGTATTTTATTCAACAACGGGTTTAAATTTATTTTTAACCGACAAGTAAATTTCTATTTAAGGCACCTTGGATACTGTGTGAGCATAATGGATGAAAGGCATAAAGAGCTGGTCTTTTATTCAACAACGGGTTTATTTTTATTTTATTCAATAAATAAATTTCTATTTAAGGCACCTTGGGTACTATGTTGTTATAATGGAGGAAAGGCATAAAGAACTTGTTTTTTATTCAACAACGAGTTAATTTTTATTATGTCCGATAACTAAATTTTTTTTTAAGAAAAATGGGTACTCTATTCTTATAATGAACGAAAGCTTTGAAAGTGGGGCTCTATTATTCAATAACGGGTTTATTTTTATGTTATCCGACAAATAAATTAGTATTTAAGGAAAATATGTACTCTGTGAGTATAATGGATGAAAGTAGGGGTGGCAATCGGGTCGGCTTCGGGTTGACGGGTCGGGTTGATGCTTAAGTATAACAAAGAACCTGCTGACCCGAACCCGACCCGCCAACCCGAAACGGGGCAGGGTACCTGACACGAACCCGAAAATTTCGGGTTGGCGGATTGGCGGGTCGACCCGAAATGACCCGAAACTTAATTTTAATTTATTAATTTATCACTGTAATTTTTAATAAAATTAATTTTTCACAAAATTAATTACATCATCAAGTAATAAAAATTTAAATAAATAATTTCAAACCAAATCTAAAATAAATTAAACACCATAAAAGTGTTTTATCCCAAACCAAATATAAAATAAATTAAAACAGCATAAAAGTAAAAAATAACATAATATATTATTTGTCCAAATATAATAATTTTAACTTCACACAAGTTAAATAAATTCATTTAGGATTAAGTAATTAATGCCTTTGGAAAAAAAATGATTTAGTTTAGTTAGATAAAATAATTTTTATGTTTATTAAATTAGTTTTAATTCATAAACGAGTCACATCGGGTCATATCAGGTCACCACGGGTTGACCCGAAGTTGACCTGTTTTCTTTTCGGGTTCATCGGATTCGACCCGATTCTGACCCGAACTCTCGAAATCTCAACCCAAACCCATTAATTTCGTGTTAGGTTCGTGTCGTGTTTTCGGGTCGTGTCAGGAATTGCCACCCCTAGATGAAAGTCATAAAAAGCTGGTCTTTTATTCAACAAAAGGTATATAAAGAGCTGGTCTTTTTTTTTTTTGTCCCGTGCCAGATGGAGGGAAATTTCCGTCTATTATTCCAGGGTAATTTTGGAAACTTGCATTTCATAAACCAGCATCTATGGGTATTTTGGGTTGTTCAGTATTTTCATAAGGATATTATTGTCTTTTCAATATCCGTTTATGTCCATTAGAGTTGACTGTTAGTTTCTGGGGTAGGCTGAGAAAAAACAAACGTTGGGGGGTAAAGTGAGAAACGGCCTATACTTAAAGGGGATAAATTGTGATTAACCCTATAATAAAAGTAACATATTATACCACATAAAAAAGAAAAGTTAGCAATTATTATTTGTAGTGAAATAAAAAATAAGAATAAACAATAATAGTAGTTTATTTTTTTGTTATTGATACTACTAATAATTGATTAATCAATTTCTCCATTTTGTTATTATATATTGAAAAAGTTCAATTTCTTAAATGACATTGACTTCAACATTTGGAAAAAAAATCTTGTATTCCATAGATTTTTTTTTATAAAATATTGACATACGAAATTGCTCCATGAACCAAAACCAACTAGAAATAGTCTCTTCGTCGACAATGGCATAAGCTATCGGAATAATCTGGTTGTTGGCATCTTGCGTAACTGCAACAAGTAATTTGCCTTTATATTCACCATGCAAATGAGTGTCATCAACACATATAACCGGTCGACACATGTGAAATGCATCAATAGCCGGTCCAAAAGCCCAGAAGACATACTTGAATGTCTTCACTTGATCCATACTATCAGAATGGTGTAACCACCTGATCACAGATCCCTGATTTGACTGCATAAGTGCATCAACATATTTTGGTAGTTCAGCAAAATTGGAATCCCAAGAACCAAATACAAGTTCAATAGCTTTACGTCTGCCGTACCAAGCATTTTTATAAGAAACATCCACCTTCAGAACTTTCTTAACATGACTTACTATGTTCTTAACTTTATACCCAGGATCATCTTCAATACTATGAACTATGTGTTTAGCAATAACCGCAGATGTAAGGTTAGCATTGCTATTACTCATCAAATCACCTAGATAATTGTGGCCGCTCACCCATTTGGTTATTTGCCACAATCCATGTGTCTTTTTTTTCACTGCTCGGACACACCAGTCGCATGGAGGATGCGATGAGTCGGCTGCAGTGGTACTGCTCCTTTCAAGTGTAGGTTTACATTGGGCAACCCAGGTGTTACTCTTGCTCTCAACAACCCTGAACTCCCTATTATGATTGATAGACCACATTTTAATAGCCCTGCTAAGCTGTTATTTGTTCTCAAATCTCATATGGAGGCGTATATTATTATTCTCCTCACTGAATGTCACAATGCGCTCCAACTCACTTTCATCAGTGAGTTGGTCGTCATCATCTATGTTTCCAAGGTTAGAGAAGAATTTCAATTCTCGTGGAGCATATGAGAGGTTGCCAGATGCATCAAAGGGCTGTTAGTTCTTGAGATCCTGGTGGACTCCACGTCGTTCATTTTTGCCATCTGAGTAACTGCTTGACACATCTATCGATTCAGATTCTTCTACATCTTCTATATCATGCTCCGAATCATCATCTAGGAATGTGTTACAGTGACTTGGACCAGCAGTGGAATCGAAGCCATAACAAGCAACATGATTCGGCGATTCTGGATCTCTAAAACTTTGAATTGAGTCAAGGCCTTCAACAAATTCAACATCCATCCTAAAACCTGATGTGAGCCGTGGCTCTACCGAGTTCCTAACACAATCCCCATGTGGCAATTGTGATACCGACGTTGTCTCTGGTACTACTGTATTAGAGTACGATCGAAACCTTGTTGGATCCATGCATGCATGGACAAATGACATCATCGGTCCAAGATTGGTAGTTGGTGGAATGAATGTGCTACTGAATCGAGGATTTTGGACTATTTCCTCCTTCTCAATATAAAGTTCGGCGATGTATGGGACAATTTCATTCCATACATCATACATGATCTCCAGAGTTTCATCATCCACCACTGGGGAGACATTATAAGAGCTACGGCTACAAGGTTGGTGGAGAAATAAATTCAACTTGAACAGCTCTCTATCGACCCCTATATATTGATAAATTCTATCCACCAGCTCATCATAGCCAATTCTATTCCGTAATGAGAATGTACGGTTGGAGGTACGAGGCAAGTAACAAATTGACCCATCCTCGTAGTGTATTTTACCTTCCCAATAAAGAGACACTCGCAGAGGTCTTTCTATAGACATATGTGCGAAAACAATCTCTATTTTGGAAAAAATAAATTAGAATTAGTAGTACAAGACTATGTAACAAATGACAATCCCTACATTTTTAGAAGTTAAAAAGGGGTACAATGGACAAATTTATCATTTTGCATGTGCGTTTAAGGTACAAATTAGTAAACAAATGATGTAGTTTGCATATTTGTCCTTTTTACTTTTTCCCAAAACATTTCTCATTTTTTCCGAAAACACTAACCTCGCATTTGTCAAATGCGATGTCTATGAACTCACATTTCACAAATACGAAGACCCTAATGTTAGAACTAACTTCAAAAATTGCCCCCCTTGTAGAATAACTTTTTTTTCATCACAATTTTAGAATTTTCTCTGGATACAGGAGCTAGTAATATCATATTAAAAAAACACTTAGTACCAATAAAATACCATAGAAAGGCTAAGAAAGTAAGGGTACCACGACAAATGGATGGAACAACATTTAAAATCCACGACCACAGTGAAATGCGAATTGAAAAACTACAGAAATTGTAAAACTTGACCACAATACGTGACCACAAGGTCAGGTATTGGTGGGTGCATATTACAATCTGCGGCCAATACGAAGAAAATGCGACACACAATACGCGACCTCATGGTCGCGTATTGTGTGGTCGCGTATTATTATTTGTGTGTGATTCTGTCCACCACTGATTTGCCAAACCCATAATAATGCAAGAAAATTTACCACTTAATTACCCAGAAAAATTGCAACAAAATAGCACAACCCACATGATATTTACATTCAAATTTGACATCAAATCTAAGCTTTGCATCACATTCAAGTTTTAACTAAATAGAAAATGCATAAGAATCAGACTTTGCAACAGAAATTCATACTTTGCAACAGAAATTCATACCTTTTATGCTATTTTTGATGGGTTCAGAAGGAGCAATTCTTTTGAGCTCCGAAATTTGCGCAAAGCTCTACAATGGCGCCCTCCAATTTCGACGAGGAAGATACGCCAAGGTGGATCTTCGTCTGCCGATCTTGGAAGCTTCAACTGTTGTCTAGCTCAACAAAGGAGAAGAGAGAGTGAGCTGGATGGAGATGGTTTTGCTCCAATTTATGCCGGCTGTTCGTTTGTAAATGAGCACCAGATGCGGGGCTATTTGTGGATTGGCAGATTAAGTACCTCGCATTTCAGAAATGCGAGGTCACTGAGCTCGCATTTTACGAATGCGAGCTCATTTCCAAAATGCGAGGTATTGCTACCTCATTTTTTCTGAACAAGCTCGCATTTCCAAAATGCGAGGTACTGCTACCTCATTTTTTTTTTCAGAGACTAACCTCGCATTTGTGATATGCGAAGTCTGGGAACTCGCATTTCACAATGTGAAGATCACATTCTCAGACCCACCTTCTAAAATAACCCCCCTTGTAGAACAACGTTTTTTTTCATAATAGTTCAAGCATTTTCTCGAACTTTCTATGGGAATAACTGTGAGATGATTCATGTGGACTTCTAATAACAGTAACCGGTCTTCTTATAGGTTTTGTAGGGAACCTGTCCCCACTGAACAAAGGAAATTTTCAATTCTAGTCATAGAATTGTCCCTATCCCCCATAAAAAAAACACTTTATTCAATGTGCCCTTATAGACCAAAATGAAATATACATTTCAGGTATTAGGCTATAGAAAGATACTATTTTTATCTAAACAATTGGTAGAAATTTAATATAATTATGTAACTATGAGTACTTTGATAACAAGGATGATGACTACAATAATCACAAACTCAGTACTTTAGGGAGTTTAGTTTTTGTTGGGAGGTACCGGTTTCGAATAACCACAACACGCAGTGAAAATCTCTCTAATTTGTTAGAACAGATTAGGAACATTAAGCAAGACAAAAAATAGCAAATAACAGAAGATAAATCAATCGACGAACACAAAAGAAACAACCACAAGAAGATATAAGAATTTTTACGTGGAAAATCTCTCCAATGTGAATAGGAAAAACAAGGCGGCTGGGCAGCCCATCACAAATTACTCCACTATCACCAATTAAAAATAGAGTACAACTTTTAGCAAGTACACAATTGAGATATGGCCTTAAACAATCAACAAAATCACCAAATCCCAAATAAAGAGCAAAAGCTATGAAAAACTTCACCAGGAAACAACAGAAGTCCGAAATTTATAACTAAAGATTGAACTCTTGAAATCCGATCTTCACCGTTAAGAATGTAGAATTGGATGTCCTCTATCTTTAGTTAAAATTTCAGGCTGATCAGAAGTTGTTGCTATGTCATTCAGGAAATTTATTGCAATTGCTCAAACCAGAAACTTGTTGAAATTTCTCTCCAGAATTTTTAGCATTTTTCCCACTTTTCTGCTTTTGGAATAAATTTAATTTGTCCTATAAATAGATAGGGCAACTCCTTAATGAGTCTAGACAATTACCCATAATTTTGGACTTTTTCACATAAGTTGGGAGCCTAAAAACCCAACAAATCTCCCCCTTCCTGACTATGTGAAGGAACTTGCCATCCCGGCAAGTGAGCAACATATTTCAAACTTCCATCTTGGCAATAACTTGGTCATCATATCAACACCATTGTCATCCATATGTATCTTCTCAAATTCAATCAACTTCTCATCCAACACATCACGTAACCAATGATATCTCACATCAGCATGTTTAGATTTGAAATGAAAAATTGGATGCTTTTCAAGATGAATTGCACTTTGACTCTTACATAGCAACCTATACCTCTCTTGAGAGCAACCAAGTTCCCTTAGAAACTTTTTCAACCACAACAACTCCTTGCATGCTTCAGTAGCTGCAATAAATTCGACTTCAGTGGTTGACAATGCAACACATTTTTGCAACCTAGATTGCCAAGAAACTACATCCCCTCCAAAGGTAATCAAGTAGCCCAAAGTAGATTTTCTTGTATCAATGTCGCCACCCATATCAGCATCAGTATAACTAGTGAGAACTAGCTTCCCACTTCCAAAACAAAGTTTCAAATTTGAAGTACCACGGAGATATCTCAAAATCCACTTCACAACATTCCAATGTTCTCTCCCAGGTTTTAAGAGAAATCAACTCACAATACTGACTGCATGAGATATATCAGGCCTCATACACACCATTGCATGCATAAGACTACCAACCGCAAATGAATAAGGAACCTTGCTCATATATTCCTTAACTTCTTCAGTAGAAAGACATTGTGAAATGCTCAACTTCATATGCATTGCAAAAGGAGTAGTAACAGGTTTAGCCTTCTCCATTCGAAGCCTTTGAAGGACCTTTTCAATGTACTTTTCTTGTAATAGCCAAAGTTTCCTTACTTTCCCATCTCACAAAATTCTTATACCAAGAATTTGCTTTGCTAGTTTTGAGTCTTTCACAGCAAAAGACTTGCTCCAACTCTTGCTTCAATTTTGCAATTCTAGAAGCACTTAGACCAACGATGAGCATACCATAAACATAGAGCAGCAAAATAATAAAATCATCATGCGAGAACCTTTGTGCAAACACAAAATGATCAAAAGTGGTTTTCTTGTAGCCTTGTTGTTGCATAACAGACTCAAATTTTTTGTACCACTGTCTCGGAGCTTGTTTCAAGCCATACAAGCTCTTTTTCAACTTGCAAACATAATCCTCTTTTCCTTTCACCCAAAATCCCTCTGACTGCTCCATATAAATTTCTTCATTCAAATCACCGTGAAGAAAAGCCGTCTTCACATCCATTTGTTCAATCTCTAAGTCTAGGCTTACTGCTACCCCTAACATAGTTCGAATTGAAGACATTTTAACCACGGACAAAAAAATTTCTTCAAAATCAACTCCATTCTTCTGACTGAAACCTTTAACAACCAATCTTGTTGTATATCTTGGTGTTGAAAAACTCTCTTCCTGTTTCAGTCTGTAAATCCACCTATTCTTCAAAACCCTTTTACCCTTTGGTAATTTCACCAACTCAAATATTTGATTATCATACAATGATTTCATCTCATCCTCCATAG